AAGGGGTAGGGGAAGGGGTATAAAATAGAATTGGGATTGGGCCTAAGTTTGCATTTATTTTTGAGAATAATTTACTTTGTTCATTATTCTCATCTTAAACAGGACAAAGAAAAAAAACTCCTGCTGAGTCATCTGAGATCCACATGACACACTGTTATAAAGATGGCGTTTATTAAAGAGGAGAGTGAAGACATAAGGATTGAAGAAACATTCAGTGTCAAACATGAAGATACTGAGGAACAAACAAAGATGGCGTTTATTAAAGAGGAGAGTGAAGATTTGAAGATTGAAGAAATATTCAGTCTGAAGCATGAAGATAGTGAAGAACAAACAGGTTGGTTTTCATTCTCAAAGCTGAACTCACTCCTTTGATCCTTATTAAAATGTCCAACTCTACAGAAATTAGTGATATTTGTGAAGAATCTCACACGAGTGTAGTAATTAAAGTGTCATGAAACCCCAAAACACATTTTTTGAGATGTAAACATATATTAACAGGTTGCACATCAGTGAAAACAACAATAGCACTCATTATGTTTAAGGGGCTTTATGCAACACTCAATGGGTTTTAAGGGATACTCGAGAGAAATTCTAAGGGTTTATGACGTTTCACCTAAAGAAACCCTTAAGTAACATTTAAGGGATATTATCTGCGAGCAACGTTTGGTTCCTGAATGAAGCCGTGTTTTGAACAAATCAGCTGAGAGAATGATTCAATTACATTCATAAAATCACTTGCTTGATTCCTGAATGAATCAGTCCTTTTGAATGAATCGAATGATTCCATGACTCTTTCATTAAGACACCCCCTACTGGCGGTTTTAGTTTCATATTTAAAAACATATTTTCCTCCCATCATTTTTTATTTCTATGTTCAAAATGTTATATTTAAAACATTAATCTCATAGCATTATTTATGCATTTATAATTGTTTTAAATGCATTCATACAACCCATTTTTATTTAGAGGTGGTTAATATAAAATTAAGACATCAAAGTTAAAATGCCCCTTACCTTAAGTATTCCAAAGTATTCTAAAGTATTTAGATTAAGTTACTAAAATTAAGTAATCTAACGAAATACATTTTAAAAGTAACCTTCCCAACCCTGCCAATAAATTGTCGATAATGTTTATGTTTGCGTGTTGTCCGCATAACAGTGAAAGGATATGATATATTTACGAAAAATGGATCCTAAAGGTAACATATAAAAATAAAATAATATTGGTGCAAGAATCGAACCCTGAGGTATGAGTTGGCCCTTTACCCCATTGTCTCAGATCAAAAGAGTTGATCAAGTTCAAAAACTCTTTAGACACTGCATCGTGACCACAACATAAATGTACATTAAAGTTCCCCAGAATTAGGAAGCGCACAAACTGTGTAGCCAGCTTGCTCAAAAGTTCAGAAAATTCACTAATGAAGTCTTTGTTTGCCTTTAGAGGAAAATTTACAAGTACAACCAGGACAGGATTAGCCGAAGAAATCTGTAACATCTGTAGCTCAAAGCTATCATAAAATTCGGGAAGCATTAAATGACACTGAATATTGTCTATAAGGGCACCTATTATGCAGAATTTACTTTTACATGTTATTTGAACATAAATGTGTGTTGACAGTGTGTGTGTACACAACCACCCTATAAGGATAAAAATCTGTTGTTGACGGACACTGCTGTATTAGCCGAGACCCTGCCCTTAGTGAGCCGCACACAATCCACCATGTTTATCTTCACGCAAGAGCATTTACACGAAAAGACATGATAATCAAAACCAAACATGTTTTATCTGTATCTGAGGTACGAGCTGTAAAGGCATTGTCCTATTCTGGAAAAGGGGTGGGGAGCAGCAGCTCATTTGCATTTAAAGAGACATGCATGAAAACAGCCTATTTCTGCTTCCACTCAAAATAGGCATTTTCAAAATGATATAATAAATGATCTGTGGGGTATTTTGAGCTGAAACGTCACAGACACATTCTGGGGACACCTGAGACTTCTATTACATCTTGTAAAAAAGGGCATAATAGGTGCTTTTTCCTCGACCAGTTGACCGGAGGGTATTGAAGTACGAATAACCCTGCGGCAGAAGTTCAGTCATCAAAGGCAAATCTCCTACCTTCAACCAGGACTCAGATAGAAACAAGAAGTCCAGCTTGCTATTCGTGATTAAATCATTCACAATAAAATTTTATTTTCGATGGAATGAAAGTCGAGCAACGCCATTTGCATCGGAGCTTCGTCATTGGGCATCTGCGGCACATGGCTCTAAAAGGGCTGCCGGTCACCAAGACTTGCTAGATAGTTGTTGCTATAGCCCTGGCTTATGCCTCAGTGGGCTTACAGTGTCCTATTGGTGTAAGAGCCCATTCCACTAAGGGAATGGCCTCTTCCTGGGTTTGGTCCAGCAGAGTTTCTGTTGGTGATACTGTATCTGTGTGGCTGCCAGCTGGTCTTTGCTGCCTACCTTAATCAGGTTTTATAACTTGGACGTCCCTGCACTCCAGGCACGGATTTTGTCCACCTAATTTAACTAATCCTTTCTGTAAGCGGAGAAGAAATGCAAGTTTTTTTTTGGTGGGGTTCCCCTGCTAAAATTCGTATTCCAGGGGATAAATATCATGTTATTGGAGTCGCTTCAACCCACGGACATGGAAAAACAACCCGCGGCAACAGTGTAAGCCCAATTCCCGCGGACTTGGCAACACTGATGCTGGAGCATGAGCTCTTGAAGCTCCACCCTCTTCTGAAAAAGGGGCTGGGAGCACCAGCTCATTTGCAGTTAAAGGGACAAATACAAAAACGTCACGTTTGGTCTCATACCCTAAAAGTGGCAATTTTAACAAGCTATAAAAAATTATCTGTGGGGTATTTTGAGCTAAAACGTAACACACATTCTTGGGACATCAGAGACTTATTTTACATCTTGGAAAAAGGGGCATAATATGTCCCCTTTAACACTTCTCTAGTAAGTTTTGTCTCTGTGTGAAGACGCTGCAGGCCGTGGTATAGAGCAGATCCGTGAATGAATGTTCCAAAGTGAAGTAAACTTCAATGGATTTCCCGTGCTCAGGGAGTAGGGAGCAATGAACACTGTGTAGGGACCATATCAATCAGAACACAGTTCATGCATGGAGCTCTCTTCTAATGAGCTGATGATTTGAATCAGATGTGTTAAAAAGAGAGACATGCAAACTATGCAGACCGGAGGGTTGTGAGGACTAGAATTGAGAATCGCTGCCCTAAGCATGTCTGTGTTTCACACCGTATCAGATCACACGCAAGGAAAGCCACCACACTATAAATAACAGAAACCGAATGTGCCATTGTGTTTTTATAATTGTTGAAAGTCAAACTAATTTTAAAGAGACATGCATGAAAACAGCCTATTTCTGCTTCCACTCAAAATAGGCATTTTCAAAATGATATAATAAATGATCTGTGGGGTATTTTGAGCTGAAACGTCACAGACACATTCTGGGGACACCTGAGACTTCTATTACATCTTGTAAAAAAGGGCATAATAGGTGCTTTTTCCTCGACCAGTTGACCGAAAGGTATTGAAGTACGAATAACCCTGCGGCAGAAGTTCAGTCATCAAAGGCAAATCTCCTACCTTCAACCAGGACTCAGATAGAAACAAGAAGTCCAGCTTGCTATTCGTGATTAAATCATTCACAATAAAATTTTATTTTCGATGGAATGAAAGTCGAGCAACGCCATTTGCATCGGAGCTTCGTCATTGGGCATCTGCGGCACATGGCTCTAAAAGGGCTGCCGGTCACCAAGACTTGCTAGATAGTTGTTGCTATAGCCCTGGCTTATGCCTCAGTGGGCTTACAGTGTCCTATTGGTGTAAGAGCCCATTCCACTAAGGGAATGGCCTCTTCCTGGGTTTGGTCCAGCAGAGTTTCTGTTGGTGATACTGTATCTGTGTGGCTGCCAGCTGGTCTTTGCTGCCTACCTTAATCAGGTTTTATAACTTGGACGTCCCTGCACTCCAGGCACGGATTTTGTCCACCTAATTTAACTAATCCTTTCTGTAAGCGGAGAAGAAATGCAAGTTTTTTTTTGGTGGGGTTCCCCTGCTAAAATTCGTATTCCAGGGGATAAATATCATGTTATTGGAGTCGCTTCAACCCACGGACATGGAAAAACAACCCGCGGCAACAGTGTAAGCCCAATTCCCGCGGACTTGGCAACACTGATGCTGGAGCATGAGCTCTTGAAGCTCCACCCTCTTCTGAAAAAGGGGCTGGGAGCACCAGCTCATTTGCAGTTAAAGGGACAAATACAAAAACGTCACGTTTGGTCTCATACCCTAAAAGTGGCAATTTTAACAAGCTATAAAAAATTATCTGTGGGGTATTTTGAGCTAAAACGTAACACACATTCTTGGGACATCAGAGACTTATTTTACATCTTGGAAAAAGGGGCATAATATGTCCCCGTTAACACTTCTCTAGTAAGTTTTGTCTCTGTGTGAAGACGCTGCAGGCCGTGGTATAGAGCAGATCCGTGAATGAATGTTCCAAAGTGAAGTAAACTTCAATGGATTTCCCGTGCTCAGGGAGTAGGGAGCAATGAACACTGTGTAGGGACCATATCAATCAGAACACAGTTCATGCATGGAGCTCTCTTCTAATGAGCTGATGATTTGAATCAGATGTGTTAAAAAGAGAGACATGCAAACTATGCAGACCGGAGGGTTGTGAGGACTAGAATTGAGAATCGCTGCCCTAAGCATGTCTGTGTTTCACACCGTATCAGATCACACGCAAGGAAAGCCACCACACTATAAATAACAGAAACCGAATGTGCCATTGTGTTTTTATAATTGTTGAAAGTCAAACTAATCAAATGAAACTAAGATTCTATTAATTGCACAGCTTCAATGGGGCCCCCTTGTGGTTCGATATGCAACTTACATACTTTGCGTATAGGGAGGACTGGCACTGTTAAAGTGTCTTTTGTTTCAGATTGAATTTGGCAAATGCTGTGGTCAGTAACTGTTTATTCTCTGTGCAATCAGTCCTCCAGATTAACATGATGCAGTGGTCAGTGTGACTAGTAAGTGCTCTAGCTGCTGCGTTAAACTGGTGTTAACTTGTATTTTTACTAATTTTTGTATTTTTTTTTACCTCAGACCTGATGGCACTGAAAGAGGAGAGTCAAGAACTGAATGAAACGAAAGAGAAAGATCAAAATGAGAAACATGATTTCAAAACTGAAGAAAAATCCATTAGTTGCTCACAGACGTCCTCACCAAAAAAAGCTAAAAAAACACAAAGCACAAACCTTAATTCCCACGTGAGAATTCACACTGGAGAGAAACCTTTTAACTGCGAACAGTGTGGAAGGAGTTTCACAAGTAAAGGAAACCTTAAGACTCACATGCAAATTCACACTGGACAGAGACCTTTCACCTGCCAACAGTGTGGACAAATGTTCAATCGAAATGAAAGCCTTGAAGTCCACATGAAAATTCACATTGAAAAGAAGCCGTTCATATGTCCTCAGTGTGGAAAGTGTTTTACCTGGAAAAGTCACTTTAATGTCCACATGAGTACTCACACTGGAGAGAAACCTTTCACCTGCTCTCAGTGTGGAAAGTGTTGGACACGTAAAAACCAACTTAATGCCCACATGAAAATTCACACTGGAGAGAAGCCTTTCACCTGCAAACTGTGTGGAAAGAGTTTCACGCATAAATCAAATCTAAAGACTCACACGAGAATTCACACTGCAGAGAAGCCTTTCACCTGCCCTCAGTGTGGGAAGAGCTACAGATATAATGTAAGCCTTAATAATCACATGAAGATTCACTCGAGAGACATTTTTAAATGTCATCTGTGCGAAAGGAGTTTCACAGACACGAATCACCTTAAGAATCATGTAATAACTCACATCAGAGGAGAGTCTTTCATGTGCCATCACTGTGGAAAAAGTTTCTCAAGAAAAGATACCCTCAGTGTTCACATGAGAATTCACACTGGAGAGAAACCTTTCACCTGCCAACAGTGTGGAAAGAGCTTCAATGTTAAAGTAAACCTTATAACTCACATGAGAGTTCACACTGGAGAGAAGCCTTACAAGTGTCCTCAGTGTAAGAAGAGTTTCACATGTAAAAGCAGCATGAAACATCATTTGCAAACTCATTCTGGGAAGAAATCACCATTTTCCTCAGAGTGACAAGATTTAGAAAAAGGAGTGATTTCTACAATCATCTGTGCATTCATTCTGGAAGACAATTCAATTGTGAAAAAAAGTCGTAGCAATATGACTTTAACCCCTTAAACTCTGCTTTGTGTGTGTGTGTGTGTGTGTGTGTTACACCCAAAAATGCACAATATTGGTGTTATTTTAAAGGAAACTCTTTTAGAAAATAAAAAAATAATAAATACTGTTGTATGTGTTCAAATTATAAAAATAAACACTAAAAAGTCGCTTTTGTATTATTTTTCTTTGAATGTATAACTCAAGCCCTGTATGCTTCAGCCATTGTACGTTTTATTTGATTCTACTAGATGGCAGCAAACAGAATTTTTAATCCAGCATTTTCCATTCAAAAGTTATTTTTATTTAACCAAAGGGAGGCAAAGTGGTCTTTTAGCGGCTTTTTGGAATCTCCAAAGTCCTGACTGCAAAACAAGCTATTATGAAGAAGCCTACTTTTACTATATGCAATATGTGACAAAAGTACTCAAAAACAAGTTTCATTCTTCTCAAAAAGAGGCTCAATACATTCAATATACAGTGCAAATAATGGAGTCGACAAAAATACGATTAGCGACATGAAAACATTTATTTATGATGGTTTATTACAAACTTATGTTTGTTATTCTACTATAAAATGTATAAGTGGAATATAATGTAACAATGTAATCTAAAATACAAAAAGTGTACATACAATAGTACACATGTACATATACATATACAAAATTTACATTTTAGAATGAGCAAATATTGAATGAAAAACAACCATTAGGGCAGCGGTTCTCAATTCCAGTCCTTTTGTTCAGTCTGTGGTGTAAAAAGTTTGCATTAGCAATTAAAGAAAAACCACTTAAGCAAAACATGGTCAGGTTAAAGTGTCTGAATAATTTTTGGTCCCAAATTTTTTTTTAATCAATTTCACTGGTAGTCCACAGTATGAAGAATTTTTGGGTATAATATGTCACAGTTCGCTTTATTTTGCTATACTCACTTACACAAATGAACTATAGGGTCCTGCACCCACTAGTAAACAAATATCAAAAATTATATCTGGTGTCTGAATAATTTTTGGTTTGACTGTGGCTTAATTCTTGTTAAAACTACAAAGTAATTCAGTCAAGAGCAGTGAGTGATTTTCTTTCTTTCATTTTATTGGATTAACTTAACGTTCCAACTAACAAAGTTGATCGTGCGTCCTGCATTTCCCATTGGACTGGTGTTAGCCATAAGGGGACTTAATGAGCGAAACACTGAGAACACAACCCCATAATTCGATACAATTAAATTTTAAATAATAAAAACAAAATAAGAAAAAACCTTTAAACAAATTGTGTCTGATAGGACCCCAACCCCCGCCACCTAAATGAACCTGGTGGCTATAACACCCATTGCAAGATGTGCCATACATTGTAATATGGCAAGGGAGAACCACTTTAGTGTCCTATAAACCAGCTTCCGTCCAGCCTATTACGAAGAAAAATAAATAAATAAAAAAGCGCTTCACATTATAACAGTGAGCAACATCAGTGGAACATTATGAATGTGATACGCATACATCCATAAGAACGCCAATTGACCATACTTAAACACTGCCGTTTAGTTAAGCACAAAAGTCCCAATGTCTCTTATAACTTAATGAGTGACATCTATGTGTTCTCAGCATCCAAAAAGGAGGAAGACTAAAATGTGTGCTGATAGTTCTTTAACGTGAGAACAAAGCATATGTATCGGAGCAATAAATTGGAAGGAGTCTTGTAACTTTAACGCAATTGACTCTGTCAAAGTCCGGGGGAGGAAAAAAAGCAAAGTCCAGAAAAAAAAGTAGAATGGGATGTTGAGATTCACTTTGCCGTTTCCTCACCTTGAATCGTCGACTTCACATAAAACATTGCTTTCTCCGGGTCCAAGAATTCCTTGTTATCTCCCTTGTAAGAGATTCGGAGTCGAGCTGGGAACATTATCCCGTATCGAACATCACGTCGGCCTCGGAGCAGATTTCGGACATCGTTGAAAGCGGCCCGTGCTCTGGCAACATTCGCAGTGTAATCTGGAAAGATTGCTATCGGCTCGCCTCTGTATTGGAGTGGACCTTGTTCTCGGGCTCGGCGCAGAACTTCAGCGCAGTCCTGGTAATAGTGGAGTTTAGCGACAATTACCCGGGGCTTTCCGTTAGGCTTTTTAGGTGTTAGGCCTCTGTGTGAGCGGTCGACCAGAATATCTTTCTCCAAGTTTAAAACTTCCTTCAGCAGCATAGAGACTGCAGCGGTAGAGCTCGAACCGGTCTCTTCTGGAACCCCCACGATGCGTACGTTACACCTCCGCATCCTGCCTTCCAGATCATCGTTCTTTTCCTTCAAACTAGCCAGCTCTGTTTTTAGTTCTGCAACTGTAGTCTGTAATGAAGTGATCTCATCCGACCATGTTGACAAGCCTCCCTCCACATCACTGATAGCGGCCTTCATGTTGTCCATTTCGGAATGGATCGCCGCCGTGTTGTTTGCAATTTCCGATTTAACTTCTTTTAGCTCGTTCTTAAGGAAACTGCATTTCCCATTGGACTGGTGTTAGCCATAAGGGGACTTAATGAGCGAAACACTGAGAACACAACCCCATAATTCGATACAATTAAATTTTAAATAATAAAAACAAAACAAGAAAAAACCTTTAAACAAATTGTGTCTGATAGGACCCCAACCCCCGCCACCTAAATGAACCTGGTGGCTATAACACCCATTGCAAGATGTGCCATACATTGTAATATGGCAAGGGAGAACCACTTTAGTGTCCTATAAACCAGCTTCCGTCCAGCCTATTAGGGAAGGGAAAAAAAAAAACCCCGCTTCACATTTTAACAGTGAGCAACATCAGTGGAACATTATGAATGTAATACACATACATCCATAAGAACGCCAATTGACCATACTTAAACACTGCCGTTTAGTTAAGCACAAAAGTCCCAATGTCTCTTATAACTTAATGAGTGACATCTATGTGTTCTCAGCATCCAAAAAGGAGGAAGACTAAAATGTGTGCTGATAGTTCTTTAACGTGAGAACAAAGCATATGTATCGGAGCAATAAATTGGAAGGAGTCTTGTAACTTTAACGCAATTGACTCTGTCAAAGTCCGGGGGAGGAAAAAAAGCAAAGTCCAGAAAAAAAAGTAGAATGGGATGTTGAGATTCACTTTGCCGTTTCCTCACCTTGAATCGTCGACTTCACATAAAACATTGCTTTCTCAGAGTCCAAGAATTCCTTGTTATCTCCCTTGTAAGAGATTCGGAGTCGAGCTGGGAACATTATCCCGTATCGAACATCACGTCGGCCTCGGAGCAGATTTCGGACATCGTTGAAAGCGGCCCGTGCTCTGGCAACATTCGCAGTGTAATCTGGAAAGATTGCTATCGGCTCGCCTCTGTATCGGAGTGGACCTTGTTCTCGGGCTCGGCGCAGAACTTCAGCGCAGTCCTGGTAATAGTGGAGTTTAGCGACAATTACCCGGGGCTTTCCGTTAGGCTTTTTAGGTGTTAGGCCTCTGTGTGAGCGGTCGACCAGAATATCTTTCTCCAAGTTTAAAACTTCCTTCAGCAGCATAGAGACTGCAGCGGTAGAGCTCGAACCGGTCTCTTCTGGAACCCCCACGATGCGTACGTTACACCTCCGCATCCTGCCTTCCAGATCATCGTTCTTTTCCTTCAAACTAGCCAGCTCTGTTTTTAGTTCTGCAACTGTAGTCTGTAATGAAGTGATCTCATCCGACCATGTTGACAATCCTCCCTCCACATCACTGATAGCGGCCTTCATGTTGTCCATTTCGGAACGGATCGCCGCCGTGTTGTTTGCAATTTCCGATTTAACTTCTTTTAGCTCGTTCTTAAGGAAACAAGTCTTCAGAGAGAGCGTTTTTGATATCCGCCCTGATAACGACCGAGATGTCCTCCCTCAGAGAGGCTAGAATATCTGCTTTCCAGCTCTCCGTGTTTATCGTCGATTCTAGTTCCGAAATAGGAGGCAGATCGCCGGAGGCGGCGGAAGCTTGAGTCGAGGACGTCTCCGGCCTAGTGTTCGCAGGGCCGCTGTATTTATATTTACACAACTTAGTCACCATTTGAGTAAACGACACAGGTACTCGTTATTCAGAGGGGTCTCACGGGTATTAGGAAACAATGTCCACCATAAATTTGCAGGACATGCGCTATAAAATAATAATTTTAGCAAAAGCTGAACAGGAGCTAAGTTCAACACGACTTACTCCATTGTATGCTCACTAGCGCCCCCCTCATTGCATGTTTTATTGTTTGCTTAAAGATATAAAGCCAAAGCATCCATGTTTTACAATAATAAGTGCTACATTGATTAATTATTTGTATCAGGATTGATAATTAGTCACACAGAAATAAAGTGGTGTGTACCGTTATTTCACAAAAGAAAGAGACACACATAGCTACTTCAGTCGCGTCTGTTTCTGTAGTCACAGACAGTTTAGGTCTGCATCACATTTAGAAAGAATGGTGATTTCTTATAATTTTTCCATCAAAAATGCAACCATGAGTAGCCAATAAATTGTTATATTTTCAGTCAGAAAAGCAAAGAGAGCTTCCGAACAAAAACTGTTTGATTTAATGACATGCGGAGCTAAATATGAACATCAGGTATAAAGAGACTTATTGAAAGATAAAATATGTAAATAAATACATAATTTGTCTGATTTTTCAGGTGGTCATATTTACCATATGATATTTACCCCATTCCCCCCCGCATCCCAATGCCGTGTTCGGAAAGAAAATGCCGTGTAGGTGTAACCCCTAACGGGAATAAATACAAGATGGGAGGAAAATATATATTTCAATATTTTTCCTCGCAGTTATATAATTGGGTAATTATACTACATATTTCGGCATCAGGGAGCCGCTTTAATGCCCTTTGAATGGAACATATACACTCGTTTCGAATTGGAATCATGGCGGAATATCCGGTGATGTTCACTTTGCAGGGCACTTACGGTCGAATAGAACAAACGTCGTACCTGATACGAGATGCATACGAAATATGCAGAGCAGGGGGAGGG